TATATATATATATATATAGTATATTTTAAGTCAATTAGTAATGTTAATGTTTCAATAAATACAGGATTAAAATGTAAAGAATAAAAAAATTATTACTGTTTAATCCTAATGACTTGTAATCATGACTAATTATTTATTCTGTAATTATTTTATTCTATTGACAGCTTTATGTAGGTCTTAATGGTTTCTAGTGAAAAGCATCAACTTATAAACAAATGTTTTTTTTCTATTTTATTACTATGGAACAATGCATGAAACTAAACATGAAAATACACTACTGTTCAAAAGTTTGATGTCAGTAAGATTTTAAAAGGAATGTATACCTTTATTCGGCAAGGACGCAAAGTGACAGTTTTCTTTTGTGACAATGTAAAAGTCTTAATATTTCAAATAAATGCTGAAATAAACTTTCAACAAAATTTTCTATTCATCAAATAATCCTGACAAAATGTATCAATGTTTCAAAAAATATATATATATATATATATTAATATAAAAAAATAAGTAATATATATATTAAAAATGTATTAATTTTAAAATACATTAAAATATAAATCAGTTTGTTAAATTTTAATAATATTTTACAATATTACTGTTTTTACTTTATTTTTTATCAAACCAATGCAGCATGATGAGAATAGTGACTTCTAAAAAAATTTTTTTTTTAAATCTTGCAACCCAAACCTTTGAACAGTAGTGTTTGTATCTGCCTTTGTATTTTTGGATGGGTGCCCCTCGCAAAGAGATCATCATATCTGAAGGTCTGTAGCATCAAAAAGTTGCACTACTACATGCTGTAGATGACCTCAAAGCTGTAGCCCACATAGTCTGAAAGCGATTTCATGGGGTCTTAACCCCCCCATGTCTTGACTTCATATGTACAGTGAATCTAAAAACCATGTGCCCTTTTTCAAGATAAAGCCATGGCCCCGTTTTTACCAAAAGAAGAAAAAGTGAGCAGTAATAACTTACCATTCCATGAACAAATGCTCAATGTTTAAAGAGCAGAAAGATAACTCTTTGTTGCTGGCGCTCGCTCTCCTTGACTAAAAGTGATATTTCCGCTAAAGTGCTCCAGTTTTTTATTATCTGCAGGGGCTTAATTGATTAATCTACTTACAGTACATGTGCAAGTTCAACAGAGAACAATCCCTTCTCCATTCTGAAAAAAGACTTGAGGAAATGAAAGACTTAAAGGACTTTATCGCACTTATCTGAGAACACAGAGAAATAGAATAATGGTTGAACATCTCCAGCAATGTCAAATTCCATTATCAGTGTATTCAAAGAGCACTGCCCCCCTGGAGGAGTCGCCGCTCCGCCAGCGCCAGCACGCCACAGCGATTGCCTTTAATTAAAAGACAACACTGATGAACTGAAGGGCTTTCAACGGAGAAGTTATTAAGGAACTGAAAGGGGGTCGGGATCGATTAGGCCAGGCTGCCGGGTATCTCACAAACTCTCCGGCTTACTGTACTCAACCAGATTGTAGAGTTAGCTCTCCCAGCGCTGGTCACATCAGAAGTTTTGAGAGGATTTTATTCTGTGTGCAGATTATTAGGCTGTATTCACATATTCTGGATTTGGGGATGAAATATCATAGTACAATGTTGGTCTTCACACTTTATTTGCTTTGCTTGCTTGGTCTGAACCCGAGGATCGTACTGGTCTGTTCTGATATCATTTGGCTCTGAGGGCCACTTAAGTTCATGGGGCCCAAACAAAATGATGTCGATGGTAGGGCTGGGTATTGACCCAGATTTCACAAGTCAATTAAATTCCTATTCATAAGCTTTCAATTACATTCTGAATTGGTATTGATTTGTTTGGAGATATAAATATTGTTTAGGAAATATATACACACACACACACACACACACACACACACACACAAACA